GGACCCGCGCGTTCTGGAAATTCCAGGGTTTCCTGTTAGTTGTAAATGAGCTCGACATTCATCACCCATGCTTGTTTTTCCTGAGAAGAGGAGCTGAACATAACTCGCCCGTTGGATTATAAAATACCCAGGAGTAAATGCATTGGTGGCCTCTGAGCGCAGCCGCGCTGCGTTCGGAGGGCTCCCACCCCTTCCACTTGCGCTGCTGTCGCTGCTGTCAGGCCGCGTCCACAGGAGGTCACGTGGGCTGACAGGGTTGTCTGCATTTGTTCTTGGCGGCGTTCAGGTTTCATCATCTCGCTTGCTTTGATCTGGGGCCCATCTCTGCCCTAAGCATGTATGACCAGCCCTCTTTACGGAGGTGGGTCCCTAGACATAAGTTCCTTCTGTGTTTATGAATACGCTCCCAGCCTTGTACAGCTCTGTCTTTGCCTCTGTGAAGCCATGAGCGCAGCTCGTTTGTAAATACCTGGTTCAGTTGGAGACACATGGGAGCAGGAGAGAAGCAGCAAAGGCCCCTCCGAGGGCTCTTGACAACGGGGACATTGCTGCTAGCCCCGGCCTGTTCGGAGAGGAGGCCTTGAGCTGGTTCTCAACCACGTCCCGCAGGTAACAGGAGGGATGGATCTTTGGGATAGAGTTTCAGTTTTGCAACTCCCAGACTTGAAGAAGAAAAAATGAGCGTAAGGCTTGCTTTTTTCAGGCAGGCCAACAGTGCCTGGGGTGACTACAGGCACCTGCTCTGTTCCCGCTCGCCCGCCGCATTACTGGGGGAAGCGTGGGTGGGTCTCGGGGTGGGCAGCAGCGCCCAATCCAGGGCAGTGCCCCAGTGATGAGCTCAGCACCGGCCGGCCTTGGGTGACGTTTACTGCAGCGTCCGAAAAGATGAACCTGTCCTCTGGTTCTGCTGCTTTCCATGCCACCCAGCCGAGGCATGTGTCCTATCTTGAGATAACGTGTGCAAGGCGATAGGACTCTTGTGTCCTGGCACTAAAGGACAGGACACTGGGGAAGGCTTCACCCTGTGGTGATCAGGGTAAGAAGGCCCCATGCTTCTCCCCAGGGGAGGAGATCTGGGCAGGCCACCTGGCACCCAGGCCAGCTTGGGAGGATGGCCGTCACTCCCGGAGGATGTGCCTTCAGAGATGGGTTCCGTGTGTTTTGCAGAGAAAGGACTGGTCAGCCGGGTTGGTGGCGCATGGCTGTTGAGCTTGAACTGGTGGACGTGAACGTGATGGGTCGCAGTGGCTCAGATCCTGGTCAGGGAGAGCTCGGAAGGCCTTCCCGCGTGGGGCGCTGGTCTGGCGGACCGCTGCGCTCCTCCCCATCCCGCGTGGCGGGTGCAGGGGGGACCCTCTGACCGGACCCTTCCCTTCCTCCCAAGTGCCCTCACTTCTTTGCTCCTATGTACAATGATAAGTTTGAAATTGTTTACCTCTCCAAGAAAAAAATATATCCTTTAACCTCTTCATTGCTGAGCAACCTGAACACAGTAGCAAGGCCCTGTTAACCTGACCCACGGTCACAGATGGTGTGGGAGCGGACCGTCAAACCTGCAGACCCTCTAAGGGAAAGGATGGCCCCTTGAAGGCTAGGCCCAGCCCCGTCCTCAGACCGCATCCTGCACACACTCTGTCTGCTCTTCGTTCATCATTGCGCTGGAAGCAGCACAATTCTGGGTCCTACAAGTTACCCTGAACTTCCGAGCTGTGCACACAGGGCTCAAGGTCTGGGAGCATTCCAGTTAATTCTTTTGGACATGGCAGAAATGAACTGTCAAACGCTGGCAGGCTTTAAGAAAGTAAATATGGTTTGTATGATTGGAGCTTGTTTCAGTTTGCTTCTGAGCCTTAAGATAGTTTTAAATCATGTATTTAAGCACCATAAACTTTAGTTGGAAAATGGGACTTCTGGTTAATGAAATATTCGTCCATAAGGATAATTTTCAGCAGTTAAAACAACCACACAGGTATGCCAAATGTATTCTTGAGTCAAAAGATAGTACAGAACGCGGTGTTGCTGTAGGGTCGTCAGTGTTGAAATCCAGACACTGTTCTGCATGGGTCGGCAGTACCTTAGCATACGCTGCAAGTGGCAAGAATGCTGAGAGAAGTTTCTAGTAGGTGAGGGCCAGATAAGCCTGCCTCCCTCCATTTTGGTGGGCTATTTTTCACCATGGCCACTGTTTTTGGAACTCCATCATGAGAGAAATTTCCTGAGATCTTGAGAAATCACCTTGATTGGGCTGTTTGTCCTTCGGAAGCTGGCAAGAACAGTGTGGTGCTCATCTTGTAGCTGCGGAGGGCGTGTGTTTCAAAACCCTCGCATCACAGGTCTGTAGAGAGGGGTCGCGTTCTGTCCACATTACACACGTACCGTCGCCATGCTCACGAGGGGAGGCGGGGTGGGTGGGAGGAGGGACGGGGCGCGTGTCCGTGGCGACCGGAGCTGTGCCTGGTTGGGGCGTGCGCCGTGGACGGGCTGCCTGGGCTGCTGGTCCACACGGAGCCGTCTCCTGGGCGGTGCCGGCTTTCCTCCTCTGCAGCCGAATCTCTAATGACTGTCAGTGGAGGCGCCCTGCCTTCTGTTCACTTGGCAAAAATAAGTTTGACTCTTCCCTAAACACGAGCTTCAGGTCCTTTAAAACTCATCTAACGTTATACCAAAGGTCACGCTCCGCAGGTGTGTGTGTGGTGGGCGCCCCGAGGGTGAGGCCGGAGGCACTGGCACTGTGTGTGTTGCTAAGGGACACAGTGAGACAACATGGGATTTAACTGAACACGTCAGTCGTGGGCCTCTCTGCCAGTGGTGTCAGGTGTTTGTTCCTCATCGTTATTGTAATATATTTTCAGGTGTTTTGTTTTCTAATTTAATTCTCTCACCCTGTTGTCTGACTGTGAACTGCTAACAGTGTTAAACTTGATGTAAATAAACGAGGCCCTTGAAGGGGAACGCTGTCTGCCTGCTGTCTCACAAGGCTTGCCAACTCGTGTTTTATCTTAAATAAAGGTTGCAATATTTTATTGGCAAAGTAGGCTTTTTTGATTGGAGTGTTCCTCCCGTAATTTTAACTGACAGGGAATCTAAGCAGAATTCGTCTCTCTCTATACGAACTAGATGTCTGTAAGGTCGAGCAGCCAATTTTAGCATTGCCCCTCTGGTACATTCTTTAGAATGTCCTCTCTGGGGGCGAACACTCGCCTTTGATGGATTACATTTTTGGAAATGGCCAAAGGCATCATCTGGAGCCCGGCTGGTACATATAAGGTGGGTAATTGTGTGTATGTGTGTATCTGTCAGTCTGTCCAATGTGAGGTGACTGTAAAATGAGACTTCATTTTCATAAGGTCCATTCTGAGGACAACTGCAAATAAGTTCTAAAAATATTTTGAGCCAAAGTAGCATTAAGAGGAAGCGTAGACCCTCACGCGGAACATTCTACTCTGTTTTGACTTGGTCTTCAAATTTTTTCAAAAAATGAGTCATTGCTTTTAGAAGCCATGTTCTCAGTAGGTCTGAGTGGGACGCACTCAGGTGGCGCCCAGGTGAGGGAGCTCGCGCCACCTTTGTCCTTTCCTCCCAGTGTTTCCGTTTAGTTCTGGGGACTCTGGTGTGAGAGTCTTTAGAAAAGATACTCCCATTGTGTCTTCCTTCCCTTTGTATTCCGAAACATTTCCCACACCTGAGGCCGTGGCTCTTGCTGAGGAAGCGTTTTGTTTTTGTGGAGGAAATCTGGAAATGGTTTTGGAAATAAGCCATTAAAGCACAGGAGCTGCGGTCGGACTGCCTGGGCTGAACCCCCCTCCTGCCTCGAGCTTCGTGGCTTTGCCCAAGACATTTCCCCTCTTGGAGCCCTGGTTTTCTCATTTACTAAACCGATGAAGTTGGAACCCGAGTCATAGGGTTCAGGTACACAGGACAGAGGGTGTAAGTGCTCGGCATGGGGCATGATACATGGTGAGTCCTCGTGTGCTGGTCGCCTGATGGGGCTCCAGGAACTAAGAGGGGGAGGCCCAGCCTTGGAGTGTGGTGTCAAAAGTGAGTTTTACCAGGCTTTTATTGTTACCTGAACACTTAGTTAACTAATTGAATCCTCACAGCAACCCTAGGAGGTAAGTACAGTTGTGCTCCTTTTTTCAAAAGCGGGAGCCAAGGTTAAACTGGCGCTACTCCTTGACCCCACTGTCGCGCAGTGGTGAGGGCCTGGGCCGTCCGACCCCAGAGCAGCGTTCGGAACCTCTGTGTCTTGCTGTTTGCTTGTTGGTTCCCAGCGGGTAAGAGGTTTAGACCTGTATTTCTGATGTTAAACGTGGCTGGCCAGTGCTAACAGGATGGCAGCTGCTGAGACCTGAGGCTATAGAAGGTGCCTCTTAAAATGTGGGTGAGTTTGGAGCTGGGTGGCCGGCCTACTGCTCCTGAGGTGCTCTAGACCGTGAAAACCGGCCCCCGTTTTACTGCGCAGTTAGGGCAAGTTGACATACGTCCCATGAGCGGTGTGAAACTAAGTTCCTTTCATCCATTTGAGTATGTATCGGGGACCTGCTGTGGTTCAGGCTAGGTGCTTCCTAACCGTGAGGAAGTGTCGGGGGCTGGGGCGCGGAGGACGATGACACAAGTGTGTCACTTCACCAGGGCTAACAGAAGGCTGGGAGGGCTTTAAGTCAGAGGGGACACTTGAGGTGATGACAGATATAACAACCTGTACGTAATTCACAAGTGTGGTGACGGGAAGAAACTGTTTAGAGCTCAGTGTGGGTGGCCGTGCAGTCCTCAACAATGACTTTTTCTTTTCAAAGCTGGGAGCACGGGCGTGACGTCGTCATGTGTAAGCGCGCTGTGCTGTGGAAGGAGGCCTCTTCAGCACGAGGCTGAGCTCGCCCAGCTCAGCAAAGCAAACTGAAGGAGGCGGACGGCCCGCAGCGCGGTGAGTGTGGCGCCCGCCGCGCCGCCCCCCCGACCCCCCCACCCCGTCCCCGCTGCCCAGCAGCATAGCCCGGCATTCAGAATTTTGCGGAATAGGATTTCTAGGTCTCATTAAGAAAGGAGGCTGAAGGTTTTAGAAAAATAGAGAATTTTATTATTTACATATGGCACAGTGATGCCAGGGCCCCTAACCTAAAAGAATTTTTTAAAATAGAACAAACCTTAGGCTACGCTGACTCTTTTTTAAAAAATTATTGTTTACTTGACCTTCCCTGATCTGCTTACAGATGTGAGCTGCTCAGCCTCCCCTCTGGGAATAACCACCTGAAAGCCGCCTCCACCCCCAGCTGGCAAGCCTGAGCTGTGCCCCCACCCGCCCCCAGGCAGCAGCAGGGCGTCCTTTCCCTCCCCGGGGGGCCGTGCCGCCTCGGGGCCCTCACCCAAGCCCAAGCTTCTGCAGGCAAGAGCTGAGATGCTCATAAACCCATGGGGGTGTCTCTCGCCCCCACGTGGCTCTTGAAGGCACCACGTGATTTTAGGACGGGCTCCAGCTCCCAATTGAAGGCCTTCCTGTTAGGCACAGGCATGTGTGGGGCGCGTGCTGGAGCCCCCGGCCCAGGGTCCCACTGGTGGAATGCAGGCAGCATGACGTTCCACCTCGCCGTCAAGGCAGGAAATAGTTAATTCGCTGGGCGATAGACTTGCATCCCTGAGAAGAGAAGCGCTGTTCCTCTTTGGGGACATACACCACCATCTTGGCAATTTCATCCAGCACCTCTTCTGTGTACGGGAGCTCTTGGGTCAGGAACGCGTCGCGTGCACACAGCCTCACGTGATGGTACTCCAGTGGCAGGAAGGGGACAAAGAAGTCGATCAGGTTTTCCTTCAGAAGGCGGCTGTGGCCGAAGCCACTGTCTGGAATTAAGACCAGAGTTACATGGGCGTCTGAACGGGGGCTGCACCCAACTGGTGTCCTCGACCTGTGGGCCTGGGCCAGGCGTGATCTCCCGGCAGCTCCAGGAGGGCTGTCAGAGCGCCGGGACCTCCCGCTGTGGGTCTGCTCTCAGGGAATGCGCGTGGTGGCTGACACCAGGCGTGGGCACCGGTGAGGCGGGAGAGTGGGGCGTGGCTGCCAGGTTGAGGGTTTGGCTCGATGGCCCCCCGACTGAGGGCCGAGCCACAGGCCCACAGGCCGCAGGGCCAGTGCCTGCGTCTCCAGGGCAAACTCTGTCTCTCAAAGCGTTTTCAGAAAAGGGGTCCAGCTTTCTCGCTGTGTCCTGTGGCCCTGAGCCCCTGTCTGCCTCAGAAACACACACTTTAACCCCAGGGGATGTTTTTCTGTGGGGCCGGGAGTCAGCTACCTGTGGCCGCGACGAGCGCAGCCTGGAGATGGGGCGCCAAGTGTTCCAGCGCGATTTCCTCCCGGGGCTGCCCGGCCTTGAGCAGATCCAGGACCACCTTGTTGATGAGGTTGCCGCCGAGGTTGCTGAAAGAGACCAGGGCTTGGTAACAGGCTCCGTTTTTATAGTTAGGTCTCGGACGGACGGCTTGACCCTGGCAGCGGCTGTGCGGCTGACCGGAAGAGCGGGAGTGGACAGCCTGGGCCTCCTTCCCCCAGGGGGCCTTGTCACAGCTCAGAGGTCTGTACGAAAAGGACACCCTCCTGCTTTGCCACCTGTCCTCCCTGACCTGTTCCCTTCTGACACTCGCTCCCTGAGGCTCTGCTGGGGGCAGGGAGCTGGTGGGCTGTGGTTCCCGCTGTTGACTTCCATGTGGAAGGAGCGGGGTCGCGCAAGAGAGAGACAGAGGCAGGCAGACGGAGGCAGACACTTACACACCAGGACAGTGTGGCAGGTGCTCGTGCGGGAGCAGCCAAGGCCCAGGGAGGCGGCTTCTGAGAAAAGGCAGACCAAGTGGCCACCATCAGACGCGGGGCAGGCGCTCAGAGAGTGTGTGGGTCCGGGGCTGGAGTGGAGGCACGAGACAGGCCGGGCGGCACAGGGACCTAGTCAGCTGTCCCTCCTGAGAGTATCCGTCTAGGGCCGCAGAGGCGCGACCAGCTGCAGAAAGCTGGCCGGGGACAGGACCCAGAACGGATGGCTGTGAGGGTGACAGGAGGCGGCCCTCGGAAACAGCCCCACAGGCCTGGAGCTGCCCTGCCCAAAACGGAAGCGGGCCGCAGGAGGTGGGCGCAAAGCTTGGGTTCGCACTCGCCTTGTGTTTCTCTAGGGGGCTGCGACATCAGTAGGCAGCTGGAATTTTGGGTCTGAAGCACGGGAAAGAGGGCTGGGTTGGAGAGAGGAGGGGAGAAGAAATCTTAGTGCTACCAACAGGGACGCTGGGAAGGAGGGACGGGGAGCTGGCAGCACTGGCCCACCTCTCCCCTCCGTGTCTCCTGCCACCTAAACAATCCAAGCTCTGCCCCTCCCCCGCCCCAGGCCCAGCGGAGGGCGGGAGTGGGGACCCGGGTCCTCCATCTCTCTCAGAGCTCGGACTGGCTCGCTAAAGCTCTCAGGCCGTTAACATGAGTCCATTTGGCATCTGCGTGTGGCCTGGGTGCTGGGCTGCCTGCCACAGAGGAGACGCTGAGTGGTTCCCTCCCTGCCTAGCAGGTGAGTGGGATGGCCAAGTGACCCAGCGCCCCCTCCCAGCTGGGGAGCCTGGCAGCAACAAGGGGAGTCCCCACCCCATCACTCAAGGTCAGCCGCTGCTCCAGTTCAGGTGCTCAGCTTAGCCAGACTTCCCCCAACACCGGCGCAGGCAAGCTGCTGCCCCCCGCCCCGCCCCCGCCAGGGACATCATCTCTGCACAGGCCGCAGCCACGCACTTGCGTCAGCTGAGGTAAGACCTGCCCACAGATTGCCCCATCCTGTTCCCCCCCAGGGGCAAAGGCAGTCCCACAGGCTGGAAGGCAGGCAGGACGCCGTTGCACCTTGGTCTCTACCTCCCTTCCTAACGTCTCCCCTTCCTCCGTTAGGGGCTGTGGCCTGCCCCCCACCCTCAGGGGCAGCCTTCCCCCGCCTCCCAGGTCACCTGCGGACCACGAGGTCTGAAGGGACAGGAATCACTTCTAGAGACTAGGCCTCTTCCCAGGCTCTGGGATAGGACAACCTGTAACCCCACCAGCCCGAAGACCCCAAAGGAAGGGGACTCGAAGGCCTTTCCAGAAACTCCATTAACAAACCCCTACCCTACCTCGTAGTCTCTCCAAAAGAACAGGTAAAAACTCGACTCAGTCGTGAGCCTGTGAGTCTTAGCTTCCTCGTTTGTAAAATGAGAGAACAGCACCCGACACCGTACGGCGCCCTCCTCGGGCCGCCTCCGACGCCGTGGTCAGAGAACACGCAGGCGCTTCCAGCCATGTCCTTCCTGTCTCCTCTCTCCCTGACCACAGCCCAGTGCGAACCACATTCCGCTTCCTGTCCGCCACCTCGGGGAGAAGAGGACCCTGGGTGCTCCCCGGAGCTGCCCCATCCCGCGCCAATGGGAGCTGCTCCACTGGTAGGAGTGGCGGCTGGTTTCGGGTTCCTGGCCCAGATGGCGGCCTGGGTGCGCCAGCCCCGCTCAGGGTGGCGTCTCTGTGGGAGAAGCTGCTGTGCTTTCCTTTCAAACACGAGTCCCCACCACACAGTCTAGAAATCAAGTCCAGGAACTTGAGGGGAAAAAAACCACAGGCCAAAAAACGGGGTCACAGTGCTGACGCCCTGGCCCTGAGCCTGGGTCTCCTCGGAGGTTCAAGGAGGCAAGCTGTCGCACAGGACCCACTCCCCCCCTCCCCCCGCCCAAGTCCCCGGAGGAAGCCGAGGAATGGCCCCACCTTCCCTAAGGAAGGCAGCCCTGCCAGCAACGGCCCCTCTTTTGCCAATGACTTCCGCACGTCCCAGCTGCTGCCGGTAGACGCCTCCTCTCTGGTCCACAGCTGCTCGGAGCACCGCACTTCACTAGACGGGATGCCGCCTGATTCAGGAATCGCTCAATAAAACCAATTAGCTCTTCAAATTTATTCGATTGAATTTTTGTTCATTAATAGATTCAAATACACTGCCTTTCCCCACGCATCGCCAAGTAACTGAAACCCTCCAAGGCTTAGAGGGCGGGGTGGCCCCGGCAGCCTTGCTGGCCCTCCTGGGGAGCGCGGGCGCCCAGGGTGGCTTTTCCCAGCACCCCCGCCCCGGTCATAGTCCACCTGGTGACCTCTGTGCACAAAGGCTGGGTCACTGGGGGAAAGGGCAGAACTGGAGGGGATGAGGGCACTGCTGGGCGGGGGGTAGGGGTGGATCATGGCCAAAATACTACAAAGGCAAACATCTGTCTAGAGAGAGCAGGGTCACCTGGGTCGCATTAGGAAGTCCTGGCAGCGGCACGGAGAGCGGGGCCAAGCCTGCGTGGAGGACCGGGCAGCCGCAGCTGCAGCCGCAGGCGGGCCAGCGGGGGGGGCGGGGGGGCACACACACACAGCCAGCCGGTCCTCTGGGGACCTCGGCTTTTCTCCTGAACCCCCGGAGGGCCTCCCTCACCTCCATAGGTCACTGCGGCCAGTGCCCCAGAGCCTTCCTGACAGACCAGGGAGGGGGCTTGCCGTCCACACCAAAACCTCAACCTGGCAGCAGTTTAAACCGGCTCCTCCTCCTATTGTGGGCACATAGTGAAACAGGGTCTGCCCCTTCGCACTCTCCAACCGTGGACGTCGAACCAGCCCCTCTATTTCCCCGCCCACACAGAGCGCAGCCCTAAAGCTGGGGAACCCCCCCAGCGAGCATGTACTGGCCTGCAGACAGGAGGCAGCTGGGGAGGGAGCAACTGGCTTGCCTTCCACCCCGAGGGCAAGAAGCTGCTTGCTGTGAAGCATTCAGGTTAGGCAACAGGGACCCAGACTTGACTTTTAGCAGACCTTGGGCAGCACATTTCCTCCATAAGATAACAGGGTTGGACAGGCTGATTTCTAAGTCTGCTTTCAGCAAAGCCACTTCCAGAGCCCAGGGCACACAGCTGAACAAAACAGGAAAGGTCCTGCATGGTGGGAGCCAGGGAGTGCTTTTTCCTCTAACACATTCTCCCCTGAATTTCCAGCCAGACTACTCATAATCAGAGAAACAGACCTTCCAAGGCTGTGACAGAGAGAGGGGAAAGGAGGGAGAAAGGCAGAGGAGCAGCAATGTGTGGTTGCCTCTCGCGCGCCCCGCCACCGGGGACCTGGCCCGCAGCCCAGGCATGTTCCCTGACCAGAATTGAACCAGTGACCCTCTGGCTTGCAGAGCTGGCACTCAGTCCACTGAGCCACACCAGCCAGGGCCACATTAAGAATTTTTAAGGGCAGTTTGTACTCAATTTTCAACTAATTTGCTGACTTGAAAACAATACCCTTCTAAGAGGGGACTCCCTATGTGTGAGCTGCATTTCAAATGATCCTGCAAAGCTACAGTAATCAAAACAGCATAACACTGGCATAAAAACAGACACAAGTCAACGGAACAGAACAGAGAACCCAGAAATAAACCCGTGCATATATGTTCAGTTAGTATATGACAAAAGGGTATGTAAATATCCAGTAAGGCAAAAACAGTATCTTCAATAAATAGGGCTGGGGAAACTGGACAGTTGCATGCAAAAATATGAAACTAGACTGTCTTATACCATACACAAAAATGGATTCAAACGGATTAAATATTTGAACATAAGTACTGAAACTCTAAATATACCAAATATTGAAACCCTAAATATTCCAAGCAGAAAACAGATGGTAAGTTCCTTAATATTGGTCTTGGCAATGATTTTTTTCTTTTAATCTGACAACAAAGACTAATACAACAAGCAAAAATAATTGAGACTAGAGCAAACTAAAAAGCTGTACAACAAAGGGAACTAGCAACAAGAGAAGGCAGCCTACTGAATAGCAGAGAATACCTGCATAAGGGGTTAATATCCAACTCCTATACAGGATTCATAACCCAGCAACAAAACAAACAACAAAACGCAAACCAGATTAATAAATGGGCAGAGGATCGGAATAGATATTTTTCCAAGGAGGACATGCCAATGGCCAACAGGTACATGAAAAGATGCTTAACATCGCTCATCAGCAGGGACATGCAAATCAAAACCACAAAGAGATGCCACCTCACACCTGCTAGAATGGCTATTACCAGAAAGACAGACAGATGCTGGTGAGGATGTGGAGACTAAATTGGTATGGTCACATGGGAAAACAGTTTCGAGGTTCCTCAAAACATTAAAAATAGAACTATCACATGATCCAGCAATTCCACTTCTGGGTATTTATCCTAAGAAAATGAAAACACTAACTTGAAAGAACATGAGCGCCCCAATGTTCACTGCAGCATTATTCATAATAGCCATGGCATAGAAACAACGTGTCTACTGACAGATGAATGAATTAACAAAACTATATAATACAATGGACTACTATGGAGCCATAAAAAACAGTAAAACCTTGCCATTTGCGGTAGCATGGATGTGCCTTGAGGGAATTACATTAGTGAAGTAAGTCAGGCAGAGAGGCAGTATAGAGTCTTGTGTGGTGAATCTAAAAATCAAAACCCAAGCTCATAGATAGAGAGACCAGATTGGTGGCTGCCAGAGCCTGGGGCAGTGGGTGGGAGAAATGGGCAAAGGGGGTCAACGGGCACACCTTTCCAGCTATAAAAAACAAGCCCTGGCTACGTAACGTACACCATGGTGACTACGGTTAATAACAACACTGAATTGCAGATTTGAAAATCGCTACGAGATCTTAAAAGTCCTCATCCGAAGAAAAAGGTTTGGTAACTATGTATGGTGCCAGATGTTAACTAGGTTTTTTGTGGTGACTATTTCGCAATACAGGCAGACCCTGGAGATTCTGCAGTTTTCGTTCCAGACCTCCAAACAAAGCAAGTGCTGCAGTAAAGCGACTCATAGTCCTTTTGCTGGTGGAGAGTCTTTCTTGCCTTTAATTTGTAAAAAAAACCCCCATAAAGTGCAATAAAGTGCAGGCAATAAAATGAGGTATGCCTGTACATACAAACAGCCACCATGTTGTACGCCTGAAATTAACATGCTGCTATAAGCCAATTACACCTCCACTTAAACAACAACAACAAAAGCCGCAACCTTACTGCCCCACTAAGAAGGGAGTCCAGGGTGAGCAGGCCCGGGCTGAAGAGGTTGCACGGGCCTGTGGCTCTGAGGGCAGCCCCCATCTTGGTCAGATGAGGGGCAGCTGCTCCTCCCCAGGCTGGCCCTCGGAGGCAGCGGCAGAGCCCTTCACGAGTGCCCCCGGGGGGAGCAGGGCAGGAGCAAGAGGCCTGAGGCTCCCCACCCCTGCCCTGCCCCAGGCAGCAGGGCTCTGTGCGCCCTGCCGCAGCAGTGTTGGTTCCCCTTGTGGAAGAGCGGCTCCGCCTGCGCGCGCACCCGGTCACAGCCCCGCCTCCACACCACCCACCCACGGGCCAGGCACACGCAGTGCCCAGACAAGAGGACAGAAGGTTCCTCCCCTCGCCCAGCCTCCTGTGTTTCCACAGACCTACAGACCTCACCTGAGAAAAAGAAAGATGGCTCTCGGGGACTCAGCCCTGTGGTCCTCAGGGGCCCGGGGCTCCAGGTGTGACCCGAGGGCGTCCAGCAGTGTGGGGTGCAGCTTCTCAGCCTCGTCAAAAATGAACAGGGTCTGGGGGCAGCGCTCCTGCGTCTTCCTCACCTGGTCCAGCAGCTGCTCCTGCACCGAACAAGGGGGGGCTGCTGGGGAGTGCTGGGAGGCGCGCGCACCTCCAGCCAGGAGGCGAGGATGGGGGCGCTGTTACCCAGGGGGTCCCCCAGGGCGTCCGCAGGGCCTGGCCTGGGGTGGGGCTCCCCAGGCGACCGCACTCCAGAGCTTGCCAGGTGATTCTCCTGCACCCTGCGGTTTGAAAGCCAACTAGGTGGCGCCAGCCTGAGAGGTGGCTTGCTGCCCTTGGGAACAGGCCCCGGCCGGGTCCTGCCCCTCCAGGATGAGGTCCCAGAACTAGGAGCTGACTCCCCTGCCCCGGGGGGAAGGGACCTCACTTGAGGCACTAATAAGAGAGGACAGGCAGAAACAGGCTCAAGTGTCCAGAGGTGGCCACAGTCCCGTCTTGAACTTCTAGGAGCAGAGCACCCACTGGGCCGGGAGCTCGGTGGGGAAGCTGGGGAGGACCTGTGTGGAACCAGCCACCTTGGAACTGGGGTTCCCCATCCAGGCCAGATGGCCCTCAGTTGAAAAGGTGCTGCTTTGCGGGTTCAGCAGACCCGGGCCGGCCCTACCCCAGGGTGGGGTGTTCTCAGCAGCGCCCACGCTGGCTGTCGGCCGGCAGCCTTCCTGCATTCCGACTGCGGTGCCCTCACCGCGTGCAGGTGAGAGGGTGCGCGCCTGGCATTTTTCACAGTGGGGACGAAGAGGTCCAGTTCTGCCACAAAGCCAGCTGGCTCTCACCGGGAAGGCCTGGCTGACCAGCCACCTGCCTTCAGGGCAGTTCACCCTGCCCTACCCCTGCCTGCCAAGGCCACCCTGGAGCGGCCAGGTGACTCAGCCAGTCTGTCCTCAGAGCTTGCCTCATCACCCCGGGCCATCACACTGCAAACATCGAAAACAAAAGCCACACGGGTGCCGTCACGTCCGACACGCTGCAGTGGGGCTTTTGTCATTGTCCAGCTCGCTTCAAATACTACATCTCATTAGATGAAACCCAAAATAGCAGAAGAGCAAAGTCGATTTTTGTCCTTCCAATTGTTGGCCTATAATGAGCGATTCGGGGGAAATCACTTAGGACAGACCTCTTTCAAAAAACCTAGGATATGCAACATTCTGTCCAGTATAATTACAATGATGGAAAGCAGCTCATGCCAAAATGCCAACTGCTTGTGTCCGCGTGGGGACATTATGACAAAGCTTTTGCCTTCCTCTGTTCCACATTCCTGGCAACATTCCACTACCGCTGTAACAGAGAACTCAGCACCGGATTCCCTGTGTAAGCCCAGCGCCTGGCCTGTCATGGGCGAGCAGCAAGGAGATCGAGCGCGGGGACGCATGGTGCTTGGAGCATGTCTTTCCTCCACAAGTTCGGGGCCTCCTGTGCGTGGAGTGGACATCTCCGTGGGTTACAGAGTCTTTGGCAATGGCCTGCCCCCCAACCCCCCACCCAGGCTTCTCCAGGACCCACCCCTGCCCAGACAGAGGGCCGCTCCAGCCTCACCTTGTACAGGTCCACGAGCCTGGGGTGAGGGAAGTGCAGCATGGTGATGAACACGCTCACGCAGTCACTCCTCAGCCCGTCCCGGTACAGGTTCTCCGCCAGCATCCGCGCCACGAAGTTCTTGCCTGTGCCGGACCAGCCGTGGAACGACAGGGCCAGGGCCTTGCCTGGCCGCGGCAGCTCCAAGTAGCCCCTCACCGTCGTCAGGACCAGCTCCCGGGCCAGGTGCTGGCCGTGCAGGCGCACTTGCAGGTCCCACTGCAGGCCTGTGGGCGGGGGGCGGGGCGGGGAAGGTGGGGGGGAGGCAGCCGCATGAGGGGCGCAGGGGCGCGGACCCACCAGGCCCGGCCACAGCCCAGAGGGTCGCAGCGGGAGAGCAGGCACCGCGCGAACGCCTCAGCGAGGTGGGATCACTTAGCCATCGTATTTGGCCTCAAAATGAGCCAGTGGGCAGACCTGGCAGCAGAAGGGGTCCAGGGGTTATTTTCTGAAGATCTTGAGAAATCACTGTTTCTTTAGGGAGAGAATGAACCGCCCTTTCTGACGCCCCCCAGAACGGTCGGCAGAGTCCTATCTAGAGAAAGAATGCTGCCCCGCACGCCCTTGAGGTCGCCCCCACCTGGAAGTGCCAGGACTCCCATAAATATTTCCTGGGGGTGCCTCATTTTACTCCGATTCAGCACACAGCTGAGGACAGCTGGCGCGTGCAGTCCTCTGCTAGGCCTCAGCTTCCTTCCTCCCTCGCAGCCACGGGCTGCAGGGTTTGGTGATGGGGTGATGGGGAGCCGGGGTGGGGGGCGGGGCGTGCGCTGCCAGCCGCGGGCACGACGACGCAGGCCCTTTGCACCCGACCCATGTGCACTGAACTGCCCCCTCCGCACAGGCCCCGGCCCCCGGGGGAGGGCAGGTTCTGACCTGTGAAGTTATTGGAGATCCTGCAGTCCCCTCCGGCGCAGCAATCCTGGACGCTGCAGTACCACGTGGTCAGGATGTCCAGGTACTGCTGGCCCAGCACCGGAAGGCTCCAGGCTAGGAAAGGAGATGCCTTGAGACAGGGACAGAGCCTGGGGCCAAGAGGGAGCCCGCCCCCCTGCCCGAGCTGTTCTTCCGGCTCTTCGAGTCCTCTGTCCTCCCTCCAGGCCACTCCTCGCTGCCCTTCCCTAGGCCTTCCTTGCGCCTTGCCAGGGAAGGGGCACAACCGAAGCAGATGGCTTCGACACTAGTGCAGCGCCAGCAAACGCTCGGTTTACGCCACAGGCGAGCCTCAGGAGCCGCAGCCCAGCCCCTCCCTGCCTGCGAGGAGCTTGCAGTCCAGTCGCGAGACTGGGTAGCTGCTGACTGTCACTCTTCGGACGTGCTCTGGATTCCAAAATCACCTGATCACAGCCAAGCCCAAAGACCCCTAAATTCTTTTGTCAAACGCCAATCTGAATATACCCAGCACTGGCAAAATCAAAGTGACGCAGAAACCATTTGCTGGAAGTTAGAAATCTTTTGATTTAAATGAGAGACGTTTGGCGCTCCATTACAGAATCACCATTTCGGCGCTATTCCTGGATCTAGAATCTGGGAAGAGACCACAAGAAGCCTGAGGTCATCTGACCCACGACAGTGAGGTGATCACCCTGTCACGCCATTTGTCAGTGGCCGAGGGGAAATCGAAACTCAGGCCTGGGACTCCCAGCCCAGGCTCGGCCTCCTTAAGCAACAGAGGCGGCGGCGAAGGGACTTGGGGGGGGTGGTGTCCAAAGAGAGCTTTAAGCCCTCGGGGTGCAAGCTGCGTGGAGGGATCAAGAACGAGCCGCGCAGGGGCAGGCTGCCCAGCGCAGGCCCATCCTCCGAACAAGCCGGGCGCACCAAGGGATGGGACGGCTGCAGTGGCGCTTCCTGGTCCCCAGGAGGCTGGGCAGCAGAGTAGCGCCGGCCCCTATGGCGCCTGCTTGGGGGCGAGAGGAGGCACTGTCGGGAGGCCGATGGCCCGGGACAGGAGCGAGCTTCTCCGCTGCGCGTACCCAAGGGGGCCTTACCGAGGGGGCCCTTCCCGTCCTGCCGGCAGGTCTCAGGCCACACGTGGCAGCAGAAGCGCTCCCAGTACTGTTTGGAGAGGGCCACGGCTGCCCTCAGCCGCTCCTTCAGGTCCTGGAAGGCCGGCCAGTTCCGCCCCGAGCCCGGCTCCTCGGCCGCCGCCCCGGGCCCGGCAGGGCCGCGGTGCCCCAGCGCGCCCGCCAGCAGCGGCAGCAGGACCCAGGGCCAGAGTGGGAGCCGCGGGCCGCGAGGCATAGCCGGCCGGCTGCTGCTCCTACGGGCCGGAGCCCGGCCTCCCCGGCTGGTTAAGTACCGGGCGGGCGGGCACCGGGGCTTCCAGGGCCCGTCGCCCCAGGATTGGCGTTGCCACGGGAACAGCAACCTCACGTGACCCGGGGCGAGGCGGATCGAAACCCTGGCTGGGCAGGGCTGGCCGCGGCCTATTCTGGGCGGACTGCGGGCGCAAAGGTGAGGTCATGAAGTCAGGCCTGAACCAGCCACTGTCATCACCCTGTTATTCCGGGCAGCTCTGGTGGCCCACCCGAGGTCTACCAAGTAAGGGCACCCCTTGTGCCCCGCCTGGTGCCCGACCCACAGCCACCCCGCCCCGTGCGGGGGCCAGCGGGGCAGCTGCTGCGGACTGGCAGGAGGGAGACCGACCGGGCCCTGACGGTGGCGGGGGCGGGGACTGAACCGCAGTAGTGGGGCACTGGAGCCCGCAGGTGTCCACAGCCGGGAGCCCGGACAAGAGCAACAGGAAGCTGTGGGCCCTGGCTGCCCAGGCCACTTGGGCTTTGGAAACTCTCAGAGTCATGGGAAAATCAGAAGGGCCCACATCAGGGCAATCATATCTCATTAAAAAGAAGTACTACGTGTACTTTCTTGGCTGTGTCTGCAATGTTTAAGTGCTTGTGACGGTGACCATGAGCAGCTTCTGACACTGTGACAGGACAGTAAGAAGCTGGGAACATTCCTGGGCAAGGGGAATGAGGAAGCAGACAAGAAAATTAAACAAGGCCAGTTTGAACAACTTACAGCCAGCTGAAGAATCGCAGTATCTTATCTCCCCTAAACAAGGACACTTGAAAGCAGATAGCTCATACCTCTCCTCCCTGGTCTGGGAGAGAGAGAACAGAGACCCAATTAATGTCATTTGTCCCAGCTAAATGCAAGGGCAGATGAAGTCACAAATAACAAAAATCCTATTAGAAGCCAGGCAGACCCAGGATAAAAGTAAAACACAGCAGGCTGAAGAATAATCCCCTCCACCCCCCAATGTGCTCATTTTGACACATTAACACATTAAATATGCACCTGGAAAGCTGATGAATACTCTGCTGAAACCCTCCCCTGATTTGGGCCTGCACAAAAGCCTCCGAATGAGGACTCTCCCTCTGGGAAGCAGCCCACGCAATTTTCTTTCCCTTCTCCTTCCCCGACTTGCTTCTTCACAGGCACGCGCCTCCTAAACTGTAAGGCAACGGGCAGCTGGCAGCTTGTCCTGGCCTGACCCCCTGAACCTGTCCCCAAGGCCCCCCATTCTCTGACTTCAGTCAGGCAAGGCAGCCCAGCCTTGGGCTCTCCTGGTGCTTCTGTGCTAAGCCCTCCCTTGTTTCACTGTCTCCAGCTTTAAAAAACAGATCCTCCTAGTCACCTGGCCTTGTGTTGTGAAATCTCTCCTACACAGTCAAGAACCCGCACGCTCCAGCTGGCCCTGGGGCGGGCGGGATACCAGCGCAGGGCAGGCCCAGTCCGGTGACACCACCTGACTGGAGAAGGGCCTGAGGCCCTTCCCTGGGCCTCCTTCCCCACAGCGTGCGCACACAGCCGGGTTGTTAGGTTTCAGGGGGACTCCGTGTGTTTTTTCTAAGTCACCTGACGCACTGAAGCTGCTGGTCTCAGAGCCACCTTGTCCTAGGAGGAAGCTGCTGTCTTGAGTTCATGGGACTTGGCTGCTGTCACGGCTCCGTGGCTCGGAGGCTGGCTCTCCGGACAGTTAGGGGAATCCCAGCGCCACGCCTCACCAAGGTCATGAGCACACTGACCCGCCTGTCCACCGTCTCTGCTCCTTCCTCAACAGCTCGCCGCTCTGTTCCCTCTTTCGCTCAGGCAGAGCTCAAGCTGCCAGAGCCACATTGTACTGCCACCTGAGCACAGTGTGTCTCAGCCACTCAGGGCAGTGTCAAAATCGAGCCCAAACCTTCCAGAGAAAAGTGGCCAGTCCACGAGCACCGTATTATGTGTCGTCAAGCTCATGATACCCCTCAGGGGAGAGCTACCAAGGAAGCTGAAAGTGTTAATTCATTCAGTGAATCAACCTCATTTGAGCACTAGAGGTAATCTATTATTGTGGTGATAACTGAACGGCCCCTGCCATTTTCTGTGACCTTGGGTGCTAGTTAACTGCCCTGTGCCTCAGTTTCCCCACCTATAAAGTGGGGATGATATAAAATAGTCACTTTGTAGAATGCTATGAGGGTTGATGGAAACACTTATTTCTACACAGGCCTTGCCCCGGCAGAGGCTCGGGAATGGTTTCCCTTATACTAGTGAAGTTTTTACAGGTGAACTTGTGGTGATCAAATTACTAGAATTAACACTAGTTTTTTGTTGTTTTTTTTTTTTAAATCCCTATTTTTAAGACTATGGAAATAACTCTCTAATTTCTGACACATTTTGACTTGAGTTTAGCATTTCCTGGTAAATAGGTAGCTGGGAAATCCTTGGACAAGTCACTTGATTTCCAGAAGACATTTCCTTTTCTTAAACCAGCAGAGCTAAACATTTTTTCACCAGTCAGTCCCGCAGAAACGAGTCCACACAGCCGGTACCAGACTGGCCTCTGGCCTTGCCAGCATTCCCTTCCCAGAGCCCGGAGGCTGCTGGCGGAACCTTGGGAGCAAATCTCCGGGACAATGGGGACACCTGAAGGCGCTCGTGAAAACTGCAGGCGGCTGCGGCTCCTCAGCAAGGAAGCCCACCTGGCCCCGGCCCAGCCGCCCGGGAGCTCGTCTGAAACGCAGAGCCTCAGTCCCCAAAGCTACTCCATCAAAACTGGTGTTTTCAGCAGTCAGCTTTCTATGAGAAACCAGGCGCCCAGCACCTGCCCTATCACCTGGGGGGACTTACCTTCGCAGCAAACGTCTTCCCCACCCCACTGAGTGCACTCAGAAAACACCATCGGCCTTGAAAACCACCTTTGGGTAAAAATTAAGTCCATCTCCCAATAAACTTGTGTGAAAAACAAACCCTGAAAACATAAAATGCATGTGTCACAGCTAATTAACACCTGTGCCCCAGAGCCACTGAGGCACCACAGTGGGCTGAGGCTGTTCTTTCAAAAGACAGGGCACAATGGGCCAGAAGCACAGCAAACCCCTGCAGGGACATTTCTGGTGACCCAGGAACTGACGACAGCACTGGCCAGGAGGCTGCGCGTTCTGGCGTCAGGCTCTTCACAAGCCGCCCTTGGAGCCTGGGTGGAGCTCCCTGCACCGAGGGTCCTGTCGGCCTCTCCCTCCCCACCCCTCCCTTCTCTCTTGCGCCTCATTTCCCTTGCAGCTCACTTACATCCTTGAGGAGCCATTTGGGACTTCACGAGCAGCTTTCTCCTGCTAGGACTATAGGCTCTTTGAGGAAAGGGACAGTCACTACCATCTCGATGGCACCCACAGCTCGTGGCACGATGCCCCAGTGTCTACTGAAGAAAGATCAAATACCTTACGAACCTTGACCTGCCTGTTATTCCTGGCACGTACATGCGGCCCACCTTACGAAACCCGCCCCTGAGCAGCCAGTGGCAACAGCCATTCCTGTCCTTACAGAACTAGGGCCGATAAATAAAGCTCTCCCAGGCCAGCACAGTGCGGGGGCTGGCCCGTAACAGAGCCATGCCTTCCTGCCCCTCAGCCGCCTTTCCCAGGCTGTGCTGCCAGGCTTTCTGACAGACTTGAAAAGCAAACGAGGCCCGAGATGTCGCCTGGGAAAGGATCAGACCAGATGCGGCGAGTCCGTGAGAGCTTGTTCTAGGCTTCAGCCTCCCGTTGGTGTTCGAGTACAAATGACAAAAACAGGCACAAACTAAAATGCCACCAGTCAGGTAAAACAGTCTTAGGGACGCTGGTCAGTTGCCTGGTTGAGATTTATGATGCTGGGTTTCACTTTCAGAAGTTAACAATCCATGTGCCCTAAGAGTGACGCCCGGGGGCCAGTCTCCTCTCCTGTGCCACCGCCCTGACGAGCTCCTGGGCTTCCTAATGATTTGCCTCTAAAGCGGCTGCAAGAATTAACTAGTACACGTCCAACAAGCACCCAAGAGTTACCCTGTGGGAAACCGTGGTCCAGCCACAACCTGGTGCGGGCCTTTGGAAGACTCCGGACGAGGCCCAAGGTCTTATCCGTCAGATCCTGCACACACGTGAGACGTAAGCGTCTGTCCCCTAATACAACAGGGCATTGGACTAGGTAACACTGGAAAGATCCTGAAAGGGAGGGGAGTGGGAAGGGGGAAGAGGAGGAAAACATGATACATCAGTACTTATTAAAATCTTTATTCATTGTCTTTTTTCAGAACTGGAACCCACAGAACACAACAGAAGCTGAGGTGCACCTCTGTCTTGCTCGGCGACTTACCAAGCACCACCTCTGTTTGTGCAGCAGCTTGGAGAGGAAACCCCTGGCAGATCAAACAGACGGGGGTGGTTCTTACACTTCCCTTTAATGCAAATAAATTAGCTTCCCTGTAAGTCGTTTCCAGTTCCCCCCAAACATTCTGTAGTTGCAACACCTCAGTTCCTTAAAAATCTGCAGCAGTAGAGGCCCCAGCCCCCGCCATTTCAACCCAGACTTGAGGAAGCAGAGCGAGGGAAGCAGGCTTTCCCTGCGCAGGAGGGTTCGCGACGCCAGGTCCATCGGCCCAGGTGTGGGCCCGGCGGGCGGCGGCCGGCGTCTGCTGAGTGGGTGGTCTGCATGCACGCAGGGCCCACACTCAGAGGCCGAGAGGAGAATGAAGCTTGTACTAGCTTCAAGTTCTTCAGCAACATGAATCAGTGTTTCCCTGCGTCAAAATAAATACGTTTCTTCCTTGCTAGAATACAGACATGACTATATACACACATACACCTTTACTCGCATTTCCCGAAGCCCAAGCTCTCAGGACGACCCACACGGGACGGCTCACTGACGGGCGCTCTTTCCCCATCGCTGAGACCTGGTTATTTACTGGTGCAGCGAGGACACAGCGGGACCATCACGCGGGGCGGCGGGAGGACGACGATGGGTGGAAAGGGGAGGCCAAAAGCCCCCCCTTCTATTTTTTTGAGAAAAGATGGGTTTCTTTGGAAGAACATGTCGCCTTCAGGTAACAATGAAAAACCGCCACATGTAGGTTTCATCTTTCCCAAAAATAATATGCAGTAGATAGACCCAAATTCTCCCATTTCCTTGTTAAATTTCACTTGACATACTAACCCTAAGTGCAAACAGGGAGACGCACCTTATGAACATATCGCTGAACAGTACTCTGAGCAAATCAGATCCTATTAACTTGTTTTGCACAGGAAATTATTTATGGCCAAGCCCACAATATAGACTCATATTAAAGAACAGTTTTAGAATGAAACCTTTCTCCTCATATTTCCCGTCTCAAACTCCGGTATAAACATATTTAAAAAGTAGGAGAAAGGAGAGAGCAGTCAGTTCTGATTTTCCTAGCTTTATAATATTAAAATGTACCTGCGTCTACCTTTAGATGCTGCAAGGCTCACCCTGCTTTGGGCTGACCAGAAACCCCTCCAATGACGTGTTGGACTGTAATAGCACTAGACTCCAATAACTAAACCGCAAAGAGAACAGGGTTAGAAAACCTTTGAAAAGACATCTACCTGTTTTTTCAAACAAAACAGTGTTTGAATTTTACGGCTATATGTTTATTATGGCTGATATTCTCCAAGATTCACCTAAACATACTTTTCTTGCTTAATTTTATTAATCCTGACCTTGAACAGAAATTTATATTCTCAATGTCATGTCATTAGTACGATCCTGACTTTAACCACTTTTTGAACAGGTCTGAACACCTTTTGAGAGCATGCATTTTTTAGTAGTAGGGAAGGGACTGAAATCATTCGTTTTTGGCAACGTTTTAAGAAAAGATGAGACAGTTTCAAAGCAGATCTTGCTCTTTGCTGCGGAGGAACGTGCCACCTCGAGCAGCGCACACCACGTCCCAGCCCGAGAGCAGCTCTCGCCCGCTCCAGGACAGCGCGCAAATGGGGCCCGTGCGGAGAGAACACTCATCTGTCACTCAGTTCGGCACACACTCAGGAGAGTGGAACGGACACCCTTCCCCGCCTCCCTCCGCCCCATCGCCGGAAGCGCCCTCCCAGGGTGCCCCCAAGCTCAGCTGGCAATTCCTGGGCACAAGCCTTGCCATGGGAGCCAAGGCCTCCCTCTGTTAGTGCTAGTTCCGTGTTTTGTGCTGATATCTGTCTTCAATTCAATACCTTTTCCAATAACTCGGCCCATATTTGTGTACATCTCAAAGTGTACATACAAAGTACAAAAGCACCCTCACGTCACGCTCTTCTGAAGTAGTCACAGGATACTCAGTTATCGGTCGGTTCTAACCTGCTTTGCAAAGGGTGGCTGATTAAAACTGGCCTCCAGTGGCCAGCATTGGATTTGGTCAACTACGCCGTTTGTCCCGAGTCCCTGCTCGGCAGAAGCACAGACCAGGGGCAGCGGCCGGCGCCAGATGGGACAGGCGCACCGCTTTGAGGACGCGCCACATGGGCGTGCCAGGACTGCCGTCCCCTGGCCCTGTATTTTACCGCAACTGCTTACATGTCACAATCTCTTCGCCAGAACCCAGAACTAAGCCTGAGTTTTCGCATCCTGAAGCTGGGGAGAGCTAAAAACAAACAACAGAGCATGGGGTTCGAAACTCCAAACAGGGTTAATGATGAAATTAGGGTTTGACATAAATCAAAATCTTAAGGCTCTTCCTGGCACAACCGCCTTAGTTTTAAGGCTCAGAAGGCTTCAATCGTTACTTGCAGTCAGCCACGTGGCTTGAACCATGACAGGCCCAGCCACGGCGGGGCGTGCGCTCTCACCTGTCGGAGGGGGCCGGCTGTCTCACGAGAAAGGCACAGGCGGGCCTGCCAACCTCTTGGGAAGAGCAGCTTCAAAGGCCTTAAAGGCAGAGGTGGAACTTCACCTCAGAAAAGAAACCAGGATGGCAGAGGTCACAGGCAACCCACCTCTTACTCAAGGCGCTGTTTGCTTTGTTAATTTGGAAAGGGTTTGTCTCCTTTGGGCAAAAGGGAAAAAGTCTCCATAAGAGAATCATGCTTGGGTTGCAACAGTAAGTTCTCTGGAGACAATTTTTTGGTTAATTTAAACACAACTGTGAGAACGCAGACTTTACTTAGGTACAAGTCACGTTAGCTTTTACACACCTTAAGAACTTAAATACAGGGGAACCTGTTTTCAGCAATTCGGTCACCTCCCCGACTCCAGCTCTCCCTTCTCCCCTCCTCTGGAAACCATCTGAAGTGCTACTACTGCCTAACCACCGCAAAGCCCAAACCGGCTTTGGCTCTACCCCCACCACTACCTTAAACACGCACCCCCGCCCCGCAGGGCCCGCCCTGCGGCTCCGCAGGACGCCCGGTGTTACTGGCTGCCACTCCTCAGGAGGCAGTAAAATCCCCAATTTGACCAGTCCTGGTAAAAAAGGACTCAAGAGTTTGCAAAGTGTTCTTGGAAAATCCACAGGTGTGGTAAAAGGACTATTAGGATGAACTCAAAACACACCTTCCAGAGCCAATCCAGGGCTGACCCGCCCAAACGTCGCACCTGCCTGTCCTTTGGCATGAGAAGTAAGACGGACCCACAGGGATGCACGCGGCCGGAACGGGCCGGCACGGGGCAGCCAGGAGATTCAGCAAGAACGTCGCTGCGGCTGGAAACTTACGGTCCTTACTTTAGTTTCTAAGATGGAACACCCAAGAAATCTAAGGCCACCCTGTTCCCTGTCACCAGGACTTGCTGCTGGCCATTTCCAATCTGTCTCATACCATTTGGAAGTGATTGTGCTGTTTCTCTAGCTTTGTGAAAAGAAGTTTCAGTTATTCTGCGTTGTGAATTACAAGTGGGAGAGAGGCATCCTGTCTTCCACCAGCACAGTGTCCATCCCGAACTGGTCAGTGCACTGCTTCACGGTGGCCAGGACGCTCAGGAGCCGCTGGTCCACAGCGTCCAGGTGAGGCTCGGAGAGCACTGGGGAGATGGGGTCATGGGCCGTGGCGGATTTTAAGGCAGACTTCAGCACGCCGTTCTTCAGGTAGTTCAGTCTGTTCCAGGTAGAGACCCGAATGCTGGAAGGAAAGTTTTTGGATGCATTACATAAAACTCCTTGCTATTGAATGGGGTTTACAGCTTGCCTGGCACACAAAGCAAAGATAATTATATAGCCCTGGCCAGCATGGCTCAGTTGGTTGGGCGTTGTCCCACAAAGCAAAAGGTTGCTGGTTCGATTCTTGGTCAGGGCACATGCTTGGGTTGTGGGCCTGGTCACTGGTTGGGGCACATACAAGAGGCAACTGATTGGTGTTTCTCTCCCTCTCTTTTTCCCTCCCTTCCCTTCTCTCTAAATAAATAAAACCTTTAAAAAAAAAAAAAGGAAATAATTATATAAAAATACCTCAACTAAAAGAGTCATTATGAATAAGTCCCAATACCATGTTTTGGCATTCTTTTCTAGGAATTAATGAGAGATAATACAAAGATTTAAATATGTTCATTTATAACAGGAAAAATGAGAACCAATCTGACTGCCCAATAACTGGTAAGTTCTGGCTTGTCCATTTAAGGAAATATCATGCAGACACTGGAAGCAATAAGGACGATTCGGTGGCATGGGAAAATGTGCACAATATATAATGTTGGGTGTGAGTAAACAACGGTGAGTAAAAGACTTCTACTTGAAGTCGGTGGGGGAAGAAATGTGTGTACATGTGGTCACACAGACACATATGATTAGAATGAAGTCACTACAATGCTAACATATGTTATCCTTGTGTTGCAATGGGTAATTTTAATTTCTTTCCTTTTATGTTTCCGAATTTTGAAGTTTCTACCATCCATAGTATGAATAAGAAACATCTTTTGTAAGGACACCGAATTTCCTTCATTATTTCACCAACTAAAGAGGACCTTTTGTTCATCTCAGGAGAAAGCACTTACCTCCCTGGGGTACTGTGGGAATTAGGAGGGAGGCAGAAAAGCTGGACTCCACCAGCGGCAGCCTGTTCTGCAACGACTGGAAAAGGACCGCCGATCTCTGGCTAATGCGGGGAAGGGACGGGCCGGTGCAGAGGCAGCTTCTGCTATTTTAAAACGCACTGCAAGTGCCCTGAGCATCAGACTTCCCCTGTGCGACTAGGGAACCACTTGCGAGGACCTGCTCAGTTACAGGATGGATTTCCTTTGAGCATCTCTCTCCAGAACGGGGGGATCTCCAGCGGCTTCTGGCTGTGCCCGGGGCGGCAGCGTGAGGCTGAGGGCATCAGGTGCCACTGGGCCCTGGCCACAGTCCCGGGGACGGGCAGGCCCTTGGGGACCTCAGAGCGCCGGCCGGGCCTGGTGAAAACCGTCCTGAGGCCCTCCTGACATGGCAACCAGCGTCCCAAAGGCCACCCGCCATGCTGGCACCCCGCCCCGCTGCAGGCGCACAGACATGCCCCACCTGCAGCCCAGAGGGCTTCTGCCGAGCCCTCACTCTGCTCGCCAGGCCGCCAGGTGCTGACTGCCCGCCCTCGCCCGCCCCCTGCCTGTGCTTCGAGGGCTGCCCCCTCCCCCGGGGCCGAACTGCACCTTCTCCCTGAGGCTCCGGCCTCGGCCTTGGGAAGGGGTGCCCTTCCAAGGGCGCCCTCAGCCCTCATTTTCTTTTAGTCACTCCTGCATCACAGTTAGTAATTCTTTACACTGAGCTTCCTGTTTAACCCATTCTGTCTTTTCTCTGTCCTGAATGGACCCGACTGGTAACACCAAGTGTCAATATAAAAACATCTTCCTTCAAAGATACAGTTTTTGACTGGATATATCACTGCTTCCCAACGCTGATCAGGATAATTCAGGGTTGCCTGGGTAAACTTTCTGCAGAATATTTTTGCAGTTAAAAAAAGAAAGAGAATAGGAGGAGAAACAGCTCAGCTGCCAGACGGGGCAGCCTTACAGGGCCCCAGGCCCTGGCGCTGACCAGGAGGGTCAGCCCCCTGGAGCCGCGTTTCTGTGTGGGTTCCAGCCAACTCTCGGTGCTCGCTTTAAAATTTTACCAGCGGTCATGACCTGAAAAGGTGTTCCTTAGAGCCCAGTCTTTATCTCATTTTCTTGATTTACTTTTTAATTTCTTCTCTAATACAGACTTAAAAAAAATCCCGTTACTAAATACCTATGGGAAACATTATTTGTGGTTTATACAATTTCAAACTGAGACACACAGCGCACAGGACGTCTGAGGCGGTGAGAAGATGTGAACCCACGAGGAAGGTAAACCCAGTACAGTGACCAGGGACCTGGGCCGCACTAAGGCAGGGCTGTCCGACCGGCGGCCCAGGGCGGCTATGGACGCGGCCCAGCGCAATCTTACATTTACGTAAAACATTACGGGATTATTGTTGTGATCATGTGTTGCAATGTATTTAATGTGGGGTCCAAGACAACTCCTCTTCGTCCAGTGTGGCCCGGAGACGCCAAAAGGTTGGACGCCCCTGCTGACTACAGGCTTTTGGGGAGCCGAGGGGAGGGCTATATTCTGATGTTACACAGACGTGGACATACATTACTGAACAGACTGAAACTGTCTAGTTGCACAAAACTGAAAGTGAATTCCCAGCACTGGGTCACCGGCCCCCACCTCTCCTTGATCCTCCATCTCAGGGCCCTGAGGGGTTCTGGATCCGACAAGCGTGAAAAGCACTGCTCAGGTATTGGGACATTTTAAGGCCAAGAGAACTGAGGTGCTGTCACCTGAGCCTGGCACTGGACTGTGTAACTTACATGCAACACTGGTAGAGAGGGGCGAGAATGCTTCTCTCATCCAGCGAGGGGTTCCCAAAGCTGAAAGTGAAATGCAACCTTGGTGAGTCAGGTGGAAGCACCAGTTCCCTTCTTAGAATCAAAGCAAGAGCAACTTCTGTAAGAAACCCAAATGTGATCCTAAGTAATCTCCTGCTCCCGCAGCTCAAATCACTTAAATTAAAAATAAACCGGTGTGAGTGATTACACACAGGATTCCTAACTGTTTGCATGACAGTACTGAACCATAAATACACTCATTTACAAGGACCCTTCTGACAAGATACAGCCAGGTGCCAAAGCATAACCCTGGTAACACAGACCAGAGGGGAACCTGAAGACCTCTAGACCTGGAAAAATTTCAGGGTGGGGGAGAGAAATACAGGCTCTTTGTGTGAGGTTCCTGACAACAAGGAGATAGTCATTACTTATAAAAGGAAGTTACAGCCCTGGCCGGTGTGGCGGCATTGTTGTCCTGCAAACTGAAAGGCTGCAGGTTCTATTCTCGGTCAGGGCACATGCCTGGGTTGCAGGTTCGGCCCCGGGTCGGGGTGTGTACAAAAGGCAAACAATCGATGTTTCTTTCTCTCCCTTCCCTTCTCTCTAAAATCAATAAAAGAGAGATGGGGAGGAGGGAACACTACTGATTAAAAAAAAAAAAAAAGGAAGAAGTTATACTGTTCTACTCCAAAATTACCAATCAGAAAAGATTTGGATTATTCTCCTCCCTACGAGTAAGTATACAGACAGATTCAAACCGGAAAAACTACTCACAGAAGCTGAGAAAAGTTAACTCAAAGCAGATGTAAAAAATGATCTTAGGACTAACATAGAGTAAGAAAAGGAGAACTGATTCTAGAAAAACTGTTAACCTTCTAGTCTTTTCCGGAAGCTTCCCTAATACCTGATGCATCTGGCAGACCACAGCATAGGGCAAGCCCACAAATAATAAATGGCAAAGGCAACCAGTGAGTATTTCCATAACTCACATAACTTTTTAAAACTGGGTCATTTTTAGGAGCAAGGACAAAGAGTTTCAGGACTGTACAAGCACTGGCTGCCACCTGCTCTGCTGGCCTCTCAGTTTCTGTAGCTGCCAGCACCTGTTGGAGCACAAGGCACCTGGGGCTCCGGGCCAGGTGGTGGCATCATAAGCAAACGCTGCCCGAGCATTCCTCGCCGAGGACCCATGCCCCAGCTTATCCTTAGTAACTGATGTTCACAGTAGTGACCCGGCCAATCCTGGGCTCCAAAGAGGTGTTTCAGTGGACTGAGAGTGTGGTGCTGAACTGGGCACCATGGAGACTGCAGGATGCAAACTGAGAACACGCTGTGTTCTTCAAGGAGCTCAGGCTTAAAAAATAAAGATGTTCTATTTATTCAAAATTTTTAAAAAATATCTTTTTCAAGATAAAAGTAACTTGTCTTTATACACAATCACTAAGCAACTCCTCCTCCTCTCACAAATAGCAAAAGTCTGGGCCCAGAGTGCTATTAAAAATCGCAAAATAGTCCTGGCCAGGTGGGCTTGGACGCTCAAATGACTGGAGCGTCATCCCATACACCAAATGTTGTAGGTTCAATCCCCGATCAGGGTGTGTCCAGGAGGCAACTGATTGATCTTTCTCTCTCACAGTGATGTTTTTTTCTCTCTCTCCCCTTCCCCTCTCTCTAAAATCCATACACATATCCTTGGGTGAGAATTAAAAAAAAAAAAGCAAAACAGTGTATCAAAAAGTTTGCCTTTTAGGACTGCATGAACCTTTGGATGAAACAAGTTTAACAGTAATCAAATTTCATGTTTTATTACATATGTATTTCTCAAGATTCTAAACGGCACAGTTAAGAGAGAAATAACTGAGTAGCAATAAATCAAAGGCCTTGTTTGTAGTTGTCTATGAACAGAATTACAGTCTTTGTATCCTGGGGAAAAAAACACTTTTTTATTTTTTAAAGTTCTCAGATCCCTGAGGATGGAGAGAAGTGCAAACCTGAACAAGATGGAAGAACGGGATCGCCAACAGCAGAGACCCCAAGCAGAACCAGGAAATATGCCTTCTGTGAAGTGTGTTCTGGAATTTTCTGGGACAGTCTAGAAAACACCCTTCTTGTAGACAGAGAACTCCCTGCCTGACCAGGGCAGTCCTGCTGGCCCTACCTTTTGGCATTATCGAGGAGGATGAGCATACTGGCGCCCTCATCGTCCTGAAAGCTCTCGTAGTGATGGCGATCAGCATTGCCAATCAGGTAATCAAAGACAGCGGTGTCAATGATGTCCAAGAGACGGGGGCCAGAGTCGTAAGGGGACGTTTTCTTCACAGCATCGCAGTAGCTCTCGTCATACTCCCACCTGGAGGCAAGCAGCATTGCTTCCTGAGGGCCCACACCGACCCTGGCGCTGTCTGCACGCGGGGGACACTCCCACCGAGCAGGCTGGCCCCAACCCTCCGCTGCTCTCTGTCTTGGGCAGCGCCCCCCGCCGCACCGCGGCTGGCTCCGGGCCGGCACAGCAGAGCGCGGGCAGCGGCGCACGGGGGCATTTACCTGGCCAGTTTGCCCTCTCGGTAAGTCCTGCCCCAGGGGTGCCGGTGCTTCTGCAGAGGCCACACGTCTGGGAGCCAAAGCGTCACGGAGCCCTCCATGGTGTCTCCATCGGCACACGCTGGCTCTGTTTCTCGGCAGTAGTAACACTTCCCATAGAAACACGTATTATTTCCTAAAGGAAAGAAAGGAGCCGAATACATTTAAGAAAATAAAGGAAGATTCCAAAGTCTCCCCAAGCAATGAAGTATGAAGTAATAAACAGATAACCGTGAAAACCAAGATCCCAAACTTACGTTTAAAACAGTATAGGTAATAAAAGCATATGGTGTGAAAAAACTCACAAGGTAGGAAAGGACATGCATGAAGAGTCAGTCTCCCTTATCTCCATGTCCTTTCTCCCCGGCCTCTCTCCAGGAGTCCACTGCTGTCACTGGCATCTTTCTGAACTCGCTTTTACTAAAGGAAACACGTACTGTCCCCTTCTGTTTCATCAGAGTGCCCAGAGGAGGGCGGTGGCTGCATGGGGCGGGAGGGGAGTGTGCACAGTGTGGACACGCTGGGCAAGGGGGAGGCTCACGTCCCAGGCTGGATGGAGCGGATGGTGCGAGGTTTCGTCACGCCACCCTGAATGGTGCACGATTTAAAACTTACGAGCTGTTTATTTCTGGAATGTTCCATTTAATGTGTTTACCAAATTCTTTCCATTCTCAACTATCTCTTAAATCTTTCTACCCCCATCCTGGCTTTACTTCTGACCCTCACTGCATATGAATTCACTCCGAGAGCCCCAAGTGCTCCCCTTCCCAATTCATTCTCCACAAGCTGCCACAGTGAGTTTTCTAAAGTTCAAGTCTGGTTTTTCCACATTCAGCCTCTTTTAGCGGCCTCCCAGTGCCTCAGGAGAAAGTCTCCACTGCAGGCTGGTGCACAAGGCCCTTCCGTGACCCTGCCCCGACCACCGCCTTGCTCAGTCCCTGGCCCCTCAAAGACCCTTACTTCACAGCATGGAACCTCTTGGCTTCCTGCCATCCGCCCTCAGTCCCACCTCCCCAGGAACCCGGGAACCCGAGAGCAAGCTGCCTGCCTTGCTCCTGTATTCCCTTCAGCTCCTCAACTCCTAAAAGCCGTGAGCTGGCTTGCTCGCTGACGCCCCATTTAACTCATTTACTGTCGCCCTCTCTAACTGTCCTCTCGAGCTTCTTACCTACGGTTAGGAAGGTGCTCAAGAGCTGCTCCGTGGCCACAGGCTTGACCTCCGTCCGCAGGTTCACGAACCTGCCGACCACCAAGGGGGCCCGGCGGAAACCCAGGATCCTGGTTCACAAGGTTGAAGGAGAGAGAGGAAAAATCTTTAGGGATATATTTTAAATAGTAGCCTTAAAAATCATGGTTAATCATGTTAAATGTGTAAAGCAATACTGACCAGCAGGTAAGTATTTTTTAGAGGTACATATATTTATGAGTTTAGTATCAAGATGTACATAATGTATACTTCAGCAAAAAGGATAAGGCAAATCTGGCAAAATGTGAATAATTGCTTATTCCAAGGAGTGAGTATGTGGGTTCATTTTACCCTATTCTCTCTACTTTTATTTGTTAGAAAGTTTTCATAATAAAAATTTTAAATACATTTTAACAAAGCATTAAAAAAACTGGGTCTAAATCCACACTTGGGTTCGAAGCTTTGGATAAAACTGCACATTGACATGAAATGATACAGATTAATCTAAAATGATAAACCCACAGGACAAATTAAACATAGATACATTTGAAGATATTTCTCCCTAATGGTCTAAAAGTACAACCTTATGGTTGAGAACTAAAATTTTTTTCAGTGAAATTTCCTGTCTAAAAAATACACATTCACTGAAGAAAAGTTGGAGGGGCAGGATTTGGGACACACGGAAAATTTATAATGAAGAAAATAAAGACCACCCATAATGTACCGTTTTTCACGGGTCGTTATATCCTGAGCCTTTCCCAGGGCACGACGTTTAAAAATGGCTGCGTGGCACAGAGGTTCCCGGAGGGTGGGGGTGGCAGGTGGAAGCAGCGGGTAGAGGGGGGTCAACTGTGTGGTGACGAAGAGAAACCTGACTTTGGGTGGCGAGCACACAGTGCAACGTACAAATGATATGATGTGTTACAGACTGTACACTCGACACACAGTCCTACTAACGAATGTCACCCCAATACTTTTAACAGAACAAAACTTTTTTACAGGCAGTGTAATAAAAATCCATTCCTCAGGGCTGTTGACTGACTTTGTCCTAAACTCTTTGGAAAAGCCACAAAACAAGGAGATCAACAGATTTGTCAAAATAACATAAAAATAGAGAGGACCTCCTGCGGCCAGAGAAGGTAGTCAAATCCTAATAAAATGGAGAAACAGCAACCCAGGGCGGGCAGCGCCAGGAGCTGTGCGCGAGAAAGCAAGGTGGGGGGGGGCGTTTCTCCCCAGGGCCCACTGCCAGCAGCCGGCTCAGTGGCAAGGAGCCGCGCCACAGTGGTGGCAGGAAGCTGAAGGGGAGAAGCAGGGCGGCAGGGAACGAATGGGGTAGGGGCCTGGCCAGAGAACGGCTTCCAGATTTTGAGGTAGAGAAGGACTTTTAAACACACGACCTCTTAAAACACAAGTCATAAGTTGAAACATTATTATATTTAGTAAACATCAAAAGTAATGATTTCTGTACAAAGACTACTTCAGAGTAAGTTAGCAAATAGGTGTTGTGCTGTGAAAAGATAAGGAGATACTAAAGGTTGCCAACAATTGGGGAAATGCAAAATACTGAGATCCCACATTACATATGTTAGACGAACAGGAGGTGGTGTGTTGGGTCATATGAAACAAGGGTGCGGCTGTGGGGAGATGCCCCGCACACGCTGCGGGGGCGCATGCACAGGGCAGTGCAGGGGCTGCGGACGAAGGAAATCGGGACGCAGCGGAGGTCTGGGAACGGCCGGCCCAGGTGTGCCATCCAGGGAGGAGCAGGGCTACCCACCTCTTTCCCACTGGGCCTTACAAGAAAGAGGCCACGAAAATCCATGGGATTGTGACAAACATTTGCTTAGCCTCTTCCACAGCATTTCGTGTTTTTTAAATTGACACCAGTTTTTTTTTCAATTCTGAAAATGCTACAGCTAAGACTGTGGTATATGTATCTTTGAATTTCTATTTCTCTAGGGTCCCTTCCAGAAATATCTTAATTATTTGCATAACAAGGTAGCACTCATTCAAAGAGAATGAATGTAAGGCTTCTGACACCTAAGGCCAGAGCTCTGAACAGAAAGACAACCAATTAACAATTCCAGAAGCAACACGGGGCTCTCGATGTCTTCCGGCCATTGAAGGTGGGTTTCTAAAAAATCTTTGCCATTTTCACCAAAATAGTATCCCATTGTTTCAACTGGACTTTATGGATTACTGCTGAGAATGAGTGCCCCACCCATTCCATATTTATTAGCAATCAATAATCTCTCTCAACTGCGTCCTTAGACCATTTTTCTACTAGAGTTTGAGCGTATGGATAGATTTGTATAAATATTTATATGTTATGGCTATTAATGCTTAGATTACATTAGAGTCAAATATTTTCTTCTCGTTTGCCTTTTTGTTTAATGTTTTTTGACATGTAAATTTTTTTAATCTAGTTGAGTCTATTGAGCTTTTTCTTCATGATTTTTTTTTTTAAAGATTAGTTTAGAAAATCCTTCCCAATCCAGAGGAAGAGAAAAATTCACCTCAATTTTCTTCCAATTTCCTTACAGATTCATTTAAAAAATACTGTGAGCATTTCTTTAAAGTCTGCCCGTGTGCCCTCATGGAAGAGCTGGTCAGGAGAACTGGGTTTACCTGCAAGGCTCCTGCTGAAAATACGAATTTTCCTAGCTCACTTATACACACAGAATTCATGTGTATTTTTCTTTTTGGAATTATTCTGGTTTTTGAAGTTGTGCCTATTTTATAGGAAGGATAATAAAATTCATTATACATGTCATGCTATCTGTTTCTAGCATGTGGGCATAAGTCAGTATTACTTCCCTAAAACAAAAACAAACCCATGTTGCCAGGCTCAATGAACAACCAGTGCAACTCAGGAACATGAGTTCCAGCTTTGGTTTTCATCCTGCCATTTTATTTACTAACTACACCCTCACTCACGATCATGACAGAGGGCAGACCAGAATGAGATGACCTAAGAAGCCTGGCGCTCAGAAGTTCACTTTGGTATTGCTCCTAGTACCACCCGAATTAAGAGGGCCTCAGGAAAATTTAATGGAATCAGTCAATCAGCTATGCAAAATAGGTAACAAGCCAAAATTACTAGCGTTACAGCCTTAGAAGGAGTCCACAACCCTCTCTTCCAGGATATTTTTAAAAAGAAACAAAACGCACGTAACCTGCTGTGATTACGCCTACCTGTCCAAGTGAAAGGCTGCCACCTCGGCGTTGTGTCTGTCATAGCCAGCGTAGGGCTCCCCTTCGACCACGTAGTCTCGGTCATACCTGCGGGGCAGACGGGAAGCGCGGAGACAGGACTCCTGTCAGCACCACGGGCAACAGCACCCAGAACCTCAGCAAGCCTGGCTCTGGCCCTAACCCTCCCTGCAGCCCGAGGCCGGGGGCAAGGATGCAGTGGAGAAGCGGCCAGGGTTCAAGCTCTGCCTCAGCAATGACACCAGGAATCAAGCAGGGAAGGTGGTGTTTCTACCCCTTTAAAGGTTTCCGATGCGGCGCTAGTAAAACTACAAGGTACTTTTCTGGAAGGCAAGGACCACCTTTGTTTCTCCACAACAGCGGTGAAGCCTGTAGTTGGTGCTTAACAAATGTTTACTAAAATGTTTATTAGATTGAACTGAAGAAATGAAGGGAAAAAAGTAATTAAAATGGTTGGTTATCAGAATGGCTACAGCAAAAGGCTTGTAAGAGAAGTTTAAATTTCTTAAGAAAAAACAGCCCTGATACACGTTAGTTTTTGTTATTATGTAGGTGAAGGTGCATTTGAGAAAAGCTGTTTGGATACTCATTCTCTGCCTCTTTAAGTTTATGCCGAGGCAATGGGAGAAACGCCGGGCCGGAGGGCTCGGTGTGCTGCTGCCATACCTCCCTGAGTCACCTGAGCAAACCCTCTGTCTGCATCTTAGATTCCTGATCTGCAGCATTAGGGGCTTGACTAGGAGGTAATTTCTAAGATGTTTCATCTCAAACTCCATTGTGATGATTTTGCATCATGTGCATGACATAAAGGGTAATGAAAACTGGTATATTTTTCTCTACTAATCATAAAGAGATACAATGGAAACCTGTCAATTAGGAAGAAAGAGACGTTTCATTCACCTATGGCCTCTACTGTTCACCTGCATTTCCCAGTTGAAAAGGACACCTATTAGGCTGTACAGGGCGCCATCAAATAGAAGCACATAGGGGCGGAAGTGGAGCTGCTCTGCTGAGGACGCATGGCTCTCCAATGCTGAAAAGGCTGCAGGGAAGTGGGAAACGGCACTAGAAAAGGTAGTGACCTTCAGCCTGAGTGACTGTAGAGTATGAAGTGAAAGCTTAAAGCTTGTCCACAAAACCCATTTATCGAAGCAAAGCGCTGCATGCTAGGAGACAGCCATGCACCAGCGCCTGGTGGGCCGCCTGTTTCTTCCCGGCACTGTGTGCGCTCAAACGCGGTTTTCTGTCTCTCGCGTCAGAGCACTACGCAGCTATCTAGGATTACACGGCTCTCTCCAGATGAGAATTCTCAATTTTTACAGAACCGCAGGCAAAGCTCTCACTTCAAGCACCACTCTCTCCATGACAGCTGCATGCTGGTGGTGAGCGGGGCGGGGGGGGGGGGGCGGTTCTTGGACACCTCCTGTTTCAGGCTCCAGTGGAGCCACAGGATATATGCAGTGACGTGCAATCCACACCTTTCCGTGACAGCGAGCTTTCAAATGTGTCGAAAGGCTGCCTGACCAAAACGTAAGGCCTCAGGGGAACCCAGGAGCTTTGGGAGTGGGCGGGGGGCGCGGGCGGGCGGAGGATAAGAATGAGAAGGAGGCACAGGTGAGCCGGGAGGCCGGAGCCCTTGGCCCGCACTTCGGCTGTGTGAACCAGGGCGGGGCAGAGCTCTGGCTCTCCCTTTCCTCGCCGTGAAAGGAGCAGCTGGGCTGGCTGAGCTCCGGGGTCCCTCTCAGCTCTTCCTAAGACCTCCCCTCACTTCTACCCACTCCCAGGCCCCTGCCGTCCTGCTCCTTCTCACCATCACTGCAGTGCGTGCCTGTGACAATCAATTTAGTTGCAGAATGGAAAAAAAAATCACTTTCGCAATGTAAGGCAAAATGTGTAAATAAAAACGCCTCTGTATCCCTCCATGTCACCTCTCTCCCATCCTCCACCTCTGAGAGCAGGACACGGACAAGCAGGCTCCAGCAACGCCGAAACCCCAAGTGGCTGTCACTGAAATTGGCCCGTTGCACATGAGCAGCGAGGACGCAGCTCCCCCTCTCAGCACAGCGATCCATCTGAGTCCCTGACACAGCAGCAAAATTCATACAGGAACGGCCAATAAATCACGCCTACCCTTCTGGTGAAGGACATCAGAGTCTGACCAAGGACATTAATTTGCACTTACACTCGGACTAAATCGCCTCGGAGGTCCCAGGTCAGAATGTCAACGCGCCAGATGTTCCAGGACAGGAGTCAATTTCTACGAGCACCAAAGTGGACCCCCGCCCTCCCCAACCTGCGACAGTGCTGGGGCAATGAGCACAGGGCGGTGTGCTCAGGGACGCGGGCGCTGTCCCCGCTGCAGGGGCCCGCGCAGCGTGCCGGGGAGGACAGCCCCCCGGAGCTGGCAGTGGACACGGGGTGGTGAGGGAGGAGGGCGGCAGTGTGGCAGGAATGAGGAGGAAAGGAGAGCGCGCGTGACTAGACTGCGAGGGCCTGACCGTTCGGCCCGGCCTGCGGGCGCCGGGTTTTGTGTGGCGATGAGAAGCTGCTGGGCGTTTTAAGGCTGTGTGCCCGGGGCTGCCTGGGCGTCGGGGGGACGGAAAGCAGTGTCCAGCAGGGTCTGGGGGGGGCAAGGTAACGGGGCGGCTGCAGTGGGAGTGAGGGAGAAGACACGAAGCACCAGAGACCGAGGCTAGCCGATGCATTTACCTGCTGTCCCCACCCCTGGGCACCAGCCGGGCCGCCCCGCCCTCCACGTGCACCGCGCGGGAACAGCCCAGGCCCACCTGCAAAGCTCCGGGCGGGTGCGCGTACCGCATGCTCTCAGAGCCGGCTGGCCTCCAGCCCCTCCTGCAGCCTCCCTCGCCCTCAGCTCCCTGGTGCACAACGGGGCACAGGGAGGCTCTCCTCTTCTTCACACACAGAAGGCCCGCGACTCATCTCTTAGCAGATCTCCCAGGCTACAAAACCAAGAGGCCAAGGACCGCATTTCAAAACTAAACTCGCCATCTTTGATGATGCGCGCACCATGCCATCACGCTTACAGGAAGGCAAGCGAACGGAAAAGAATTACATGTGTGCGGCCAACAGCAGCTGCTCTTGCTCCAATGGAGCCAAATGCCAGCTCCACTCATCACGGCAGGGCGACCCTGTCAAGCTCACTGCTCACTCTAAGCCTCAGTTTCTTATTCTGGAAAGAGGCACTGTAACTGCCCACCCTGTGATGTGGGTTGAAGGCGTTAGTAGATACCAAGGTGATTAGTGCAATGCCTGGCAAATGGTGTGGCAGTGGAAATTAGATCCCAAGGCCCATATAACCATGCTTTTTCCACATTATCTGCCAATCAGACATTTCTAGTCTCCAAAAGTCTGCTGCACTTTTCACTTTCCTAATTTCCACATCTTCCACACATCATCATACTTCCCAGTTCCAGGTAAACAGAGATCCCTTTGGTTTCTGGGATCCCAATACATTAGGTCTCTGGCCACCTACTACCCACCAAGAGCTGGGTTACAAAAGGCGCTAAGCCAACCACTCTGGTCCCAGCTGAATTTTGTACCTCTTTACCCCATACTTCTCCAGCATCATCCAGCAAGGTACCCAGAGATATGTGTTTTAATTCTTTCAAAAGCTCCACTGAGGAATAAAAAAAATTTTTAATACACAAAAAATTTCAGACATTACAAATTTTGAGAAAACTCACTGGTAACTAATTCCTGGCCAAGAAATACAAATCACTGTGTTAACCTATTTCAAATTCATATACTCACAGAAAACTTTAAAGAAAAACTTTTTATTCCTCATTGGAAGATATGTTTGTTTATTTTAGAGAGAGAGAGAAGGGGGGAAGGGACAAGAGAGGGGGATGGAGAGACGAGGAGAGAGAGAAGCATCTATCAGTAGCCTCCCACATTTGCCCCAACTGGGGATCAAACCCGCGACCTAGATATGTACCTAAACCTCCAACCTTTCGATCTATGGGATGGCACTCCAACCAACTGGGCCACCTGGCCAGGACTCACAGAAAACTTTTTAAAACTTAATTATACTATAGAATTGACACACACATTATCTCTGTAGATCCTTAGAGAAGTCCAAAGGGGTCACTGTCTCATACACAGTCCACTCACTAGTGCGCGTTTGAGATTGAGGTAACGGAAATGGTCCAGCTCTGTGCTTTATGCAGGTGAAAGAAACAGAGGGCTATCACTACACACCTACAAGAATGGCCAAAATCCAAAACACAACCACCACCAAATGCTGGTGAGGATGATGTGGGGCAAAAGGAAATCTCATCCACTGCTGGTGGGAATGTAAGCACTTTGGAAAGCAGTTTCGCAGTTTCTTACAAAATTAAACACAGTCTTACCATGTGATCCAGCAATCGTGCTTCTTGGTATTTAACCAAATGAGCTAAAAACTAGTATCTACACAAAAACCTGCACATAAATGTTTACAGAAACTTAATTCTCCACTGCCAAAACTTGGAAGCAACCAAGATGCCCTTTGGTAGGTGAATGAATAAACAATGGTAACACATTAAATGGAATATTATTTAGCAATAAACAAAAATGAGCTATCAAGCCACAAAAAGACAAAGGGAAACCTTAAATGCATATTGTTAAGTGAAAGGAGTCAATCTGAAGAGGTATGATTCCAACGACACTCGTATTCTCGGAAAGGCAAACCTATGGAGACAGTGAAGAGGCCAGTGGGGGCGGGGGCGGGGGCGGGGGTGGGAAGGAGGGGGAGGAGGTAGAACAGAGGGGAGGTGCGGGTGGGGCAGCTATCCTGCATGATGCTGTAATGGTGGGTGCTTGTCATCTTATGTTTACCAAAGCCCACAGAATACACAACACAAAGTGAACCTTAACATAAATGATGAACGGTAGTTAATAATATTGGCTTATTGTTTGTAACAAATGTACTACAAAATGGAAGATGTCAATAATAGGAGAAACTGAGGAGAGGGAATACATAGGAGCTCTCTGTACTTCCTCTTTGATTTTTCTGTAAACCTAAAAGTGCTTTAAAAAAAATCTATTAATGAAAATTAAAAAAATAATATCCACATTGGGGGGAAAAAAGACCTAGGTGAATGTATTACAGCTTCAGTGGTAAAAGGGACTTCGGTCACCGATCCAAAACCCGCCCCAACTCTGGGTAACTCCTCCACAGCATGTAGTGATCTAGTTTTTCACCGCATGCTTTTGGGGACAGCCACATATCTCCCAACTGACTCATTCTGTATCTTTAACATCTGGCACATAGTAGGTATTTAATAAATTCAGAAGGATAGCTCTAACTGTAAAAGTTTATTTAGTCTTATATGAAAACAAATCATGTTCCTATAAATCTCCCCCACTGGCAGACTCACAGGACATTATAAGATAGAAAAGGCTTCAGAGATCCTCCAGTCCACTCCTCTCATTTTACTGAAGAGAAAACCAAAAGAAGGAAATGAACCCTTTTATATAAATCCCAAGTTACACATATCAACCCCCAGCACATACAACTTCCACGATGAGGACTTACCGCTTAGGTTTGAAGACAACTTTCTGTCCTCCTTCAAGTATCAGTAAGGCCTTCAGCTGCGTCCCTTTATAACCCACATCGGCTTTAACGATTTTCTTGGTGGCCATGGCATGCATGATCGCCCCCAGCTCTGGCGTCTCTTCAGGATACACTTCCCGGGGAACCACCCACTGGGCGGCAATCTCCCAGGGGGACTGCAAGGTGTGGTCCAGCCTGGGTGCCAGCTCCACCCGCAAGCCAGCCATCATTCGGTGAAAAGCCCTCTGGTCCTCCCGGTTGGCAGCTGACGAGTCTAAGTTGTCAATCAGGAAAACTTTGGTGAAGATAAAGATGACGAGGAGAATTGCTAAGAGCACGACTCGCTGTTTCAGCTTCATGTTGACCTCTTTTCCTCCTCCCCGACCCACTCTCTCATGCGCCAGGGAGAGCAGGTGGTGCCGGTTAGCAAGGAGATCCCATGACTAGACACACTGGTGCATCTCTCCACTCGAGCGCCTCCCACAAGTCCTGCAGGCCCAAGTGTAGAGCAAAATTCAATCAGAAATTCTGTCCTTCCTCGCTGCAGCTTTTGCAAGCCTCAAATACATTACTTACCCTTTTAGCCTTGCTAGTCCTATGCTTGAGAAGACCTAATAATTTAAAACGAACCTGTCTGGGGAGGGACTTCATATTTAAGAAACAGGCACAATGACAAGCAAGTAAGTCCTGTTTTAATAGGATGCAGAGCCATGTAGGAACCCCGCGGGTGGCTACAGAGTTCCAAAATCCAAAATGAGGAGAAGCACAATGAAAGTGAAACATAAAGATATGCACAACTTCTTAACTTTCATTTTTACCTTTCAAAACCCATAAAGGACTTCTGAACATTCCAAATCACCAGCATTTGGTCGCTTTCCAGTTCCTATCTCCTCCAAAGATAAGTTTTACGACACACAGTAAGACAGGAACTTGTAAAAGCGCCCAGGGGAGTACAGAGGGGACTAACAACTCCTTCTCTGAATCCAAGTTCCCAGCAATCACATCTGCCATATGATACGTGTCATATTAGCAGATCATGTATTTACATACAACATGCAGGCACACATCTCTACTTAACCAGCCTTCCACTAATTTTTAAAATTAAAATCCCTGTAAAATATGGATGATCAAATCTGGATAAATTAAGTAGAGAAAAACACATCCCTACATTATCTAGCTATTGGTAGAACATGACCAGACAGGTAATGACACCCGGTACCAGGGCAACAGCACTAAGTCTGGGCCGGGCAGGCAAGCAACAAGGACGCTGGTACCACAGACGTGGAGAAGTGCTGCTTGGGGTCTGGGGCCAACCACACTCAGTCAATTCTCAAGCTGAAATATTCCAAATGCAAGGCCTGCGCATGGGCATCCAGAACATACGACATTCATGTCATTTGCACACTGACAGGGTGCTCCCCACCCCAGAGGACCTTTTAAAACCATGCACAAGCTCGCTCTGCCGTGTGCTTAGAGACAGCACGGGCGCTGGGCTAAGACAAAGATGACAAGGAGGTGGCAGGGTGTGGCCTCCCTCTCCTATTCATTTAACAACTCAGGCCATTAATCAAAGAGATAGAAGCAACACGAAAGACAGGGCAAACGACCGTCTGAGACACTCCCTCCAAATGGGGGACTGCTCCCCTAGCAAGAGCTGAGACCCAGCCGGAACGGCCCACTGGAGCCGCGGGGTTCTCAGGGCGAGTCCGCTGACAGGCAGTGTGTTCTTAGTGCTCACCCGACCTCTCTTTTCCCTTTAACTTCCAAGAAGTGGAAAGTCAGAGTCAAAGTCAAGTCCTAATTATCTCCAGCCACCTGTTTTGCTTCATCGTCGTCATTTCCCAGGGAGTACATAACACTATTGGCTGAAACAAAGGCAATTCAAATGCATCCAGAATGTAATTGTGATGGTATCAAGTTTGGTGTGAAACGCAGTAAAACACTTCCCTGTGATTACTGTTAACAGCAATGCTGGGAGAGCAGACTGCAGAGACTTCTGCTAGTTCCAACACGACCTAAACCACATACACACACCTCAGGCTGCAGTGACAAAAGGGGACACGGAAACCTCACTGTGCCAGGAACTGCTGCCTCAGCACCTTCAGCTGTATCTCCCTTCAGTCCTGGTACAATTCTGGCCCGGCTCAGCAGCCTTTCTCTTCCTCTGGAACATTCTTCAGGACTCAAGTCCGGTTAACCCGTAAACTTCTAGGGACGCTGCTTGTTTCATTTAGAGGAAGAGAAATTCCCTCACATTACAGAAAATATCATATGCAAACATTTAGAATGAAGGTTAGAAATATTGAGGCTTTCTTAAAATCACCAATATCCGAAGTTCCTGCAGCTCCAAAACTCAGGTGAAACAAACATTGTCCAACCCTGCCACCTGAGTGTGTGCTGGTAAGCTTTTGTGAGCCTTTGGAACAGGCCTCAGAACACACCCGGCAATTTAGGGCTGCAGACAATTCACCCTCTCAATCGGGACAGACACTTTATCGAGTGAACTGTGACGACTTCAACTGTTAGACTATTTCCCTATTCACCTCTGCAGGTTAGCAGTGAGGCTGTTAGACTATTTCCCTATTCAACTCTGCAGGTTAGCAGTGAGGGCAGGTTTAAAGAAGAGGCTCAGCAAGTTTTCATGCTCTCGTCAGTCACCATGTCCGGGCAAAACACGATCGCAATCTGGCACTGTTCTCTCCAGGTGCCCTGCGTCCCCACAGCCGCCAATTCGATTCAGTGCCCATCCCCTTCCACTGGATCACTGAACGAACCGCCTTCCGGGCCACCAGGGTCTCCCATCGACACTGATAATGAAGCAAAAGCAGTTTTCTAATCACACACCACACATTTCATCGCTCCGCATTCCTCAAAGCGTTACGGCCCTACCGTACGTGGCTTCAGCAGCTCTGCTTGGCTACGTGTCACTGTCTTCGCAGCTTCAACCTAAACGGACCAGGAACGTGCTCTGGTCCCCAGTTCCCCATGTGGCTGACCTCTGCCCTTGTCATTCCTCACACTGGAGATCCTCAAACTTCCTCTCGCTCTTACCCCTTCTTCCCACCTTCTCCTGGTTAAGAGCCTGATCTGTCTATCAAGGACCATCTCCAAAGCCGTTTTTGGTTCCTCCTCACACTCTCCACTAACCCCTCTCTCCCTCAGACCACCACCTAACTACACTTGGCCTTGTCCAGTATCTTCTCGTAATGGCTCCGAATCCCCCCCTCAGGTTCTTGGCTCCTTAGCAGTCCTGGCTGTCTTGGCATTCCCTCCAGCACCCAGCACAGGAAGGACAGGTGACTCCTTCACCTAACCCAAACTGCTACGCCAGGCTTTGCAAATACCTTACAACTTACGCTAATCTCCTTCGGTATTTAGTATCAAATGAGTGTGTATCAACTGGCACCTCAATGCTGGCTCTCCCTAATCAGCTACCCTCCCTTTTCCGGCGACCTGCTCCTCTACCAACACTTGACAGTTCAGAAAACACAAAGATACTTTAGAAATCAACAACATGGAGATTATAGTGGAATTTCTACAAAAGTTAGTGGGTTTGCAAGAATCCCCTTATTCCAGAAAAAAAATGTATGACATGGATTAATTCCATCCTCTAATGATGGTATCCTCACTACTGCATCCCTGAGAGGGGAGGGCACCCAAGCCAGGACCTCCATGGTATACCATCTTCTTTTCCTACCTGAGACAGCAGCATACTGCACCCTCTGCATACTGGGCTTCTAAGATCCCCGTAATCAGACACTAAGGAAATTAAAGCAGTATCACTGGGCATATTCCAAATTACTCACGAAAACTTCACCTGCATTCCCAGAAGCCTCCGCCTGCCCTAGCCTCCTCTTGTGAATGCCTCCGACGGTGTAGCACTGTCCGGTTATATGACAGTCATTTATTTAAATACTTCTGTTATGTGGAACACAGCCTACCTCAAAGAACAAATAGACTCATGGGAGTAACATAACTCAAAAAACGTTAACCATAAAAGAGGCAGTGCAGCCCTTGTCTGTGTGGCTCAGCTGGTTGAAGCGTGGTCCTGTGCACCGGACGGCTGGGGGTTCTACTCCCGGTTGGGACACACGTGTGGGCTGTGGGTTCCATCCCCAGTCAGGGCAGGTATGGGAGGCAGCCGGTCAATGTTTCCCTCTCACACTGATGTTTCTCTCTCTCAAATCAATAAACAAATTTAAAAATTAAAACATTAAATTTAAGAAAAGAGGCAGTGTAAAAGTTAATCTTCACACTAAAAGTTGGCATAAACTCCCAGACGTGATTTGTGGGAGGTAGACCTTCACATGGAATTTTCCTGCTGACCCTGGTTTCACGCTCAGCTCCATCAGCTAAACGAGGCTTGCTACGGAGGCTCTGGTTCCTTTCATCCTACACACATGTGCGCGCACACACACACCATCCCACACGTGACAAACTTAGGACTGCTCAGTTGTTTAGAAGAAGAGTGACAGATAACATAGAAAACAGTGAGGTTCTCAAATAAGTCCTCTGTTCAAGAATCTGGCTGGTGTCTGGAGAAACATATACAGAAAAACACATCTGTGCGGAGGTCTGTAAGTCACCATGTGCTGAAACGTAATGTTTGCGGCTCCTCAGGAACTTGAGACCAGTGGGCCCAGCGCGCCCCACCTTACCAGTGCGGTTCCCAGCCCCGCTCCTAGCAGTGCCCTTTGACTCTCCCTCTGGTCAAGGGACAACCTCGCAGCACTTTCCCTAAGGTCAGAGTGAAGAAATCCTAAGCTTTGCTCAGAGCAACTAAAAGTGAAAGCTTTGGTAGTAAACCTTTTTTGTTTCTAAGTCAATGGTCAAATCAAGTTCTCACCGCACAAATGGAACATAACATGCCTGTGAGTGTGAAGTTCCACAAGGAAAACGTTCAGCATGAACACTTCACTGAGAGGGCGATTAACAAGTCGTTGTGGCAAAGGGGGTGGAATTTATTAAAAAAACTATACGATTGTACTTACACAAGCTCCCTGCCCTGGGTGCTGAGTAGGAATTACAAGAACCCTTTCACAAACTTCTTCAGTAATTACTGGTTTCAGCAAACTTCAGAAGGCGTGGTGAGCATGAGAGGTACAGCCTGAACTTAATTAAGAGTGTCTGATTGTCTGCAAAGATAGATACCAACAAACACCTCCTCCCATCGAGTGGGGGGGTCCACCTTCCCTCCCTCTGAACCTTGCCTGCATTGACCAACCGACGTGACAATGTCGGTTCTGGGCGTAGGCCTTAAGAGACCTGGCAGCTTCCACTTGGGACCAAACCACTAGGTAAAGCAGCCTGGGCTAGACCTCCAAGGGACGAGGGACCTATACGGACAGAGGTGCTGGCAGCCCCTGGCTCTTCTGGACACCCCAGCTGAGACGCCAGACCTGGAAGTGAAGCCGTCGAGGGCTTTACAGCTCCAGTTAAGGAGCCAGCTGAACACAGCCACATGTGTGACCCCCGCCTATACCTTGTGG